ATGTATAGCAGCAAAAGGAGTCCCAGTAAAGGGGAGGAGTCAAAGGCCCCACCTGACATATACAGTCATACACAGACACAGCCACACACTCCCTCCCACATGCTCACACATACACATACAACCCAAGACTTACAAAAATGAATGCTAGACACCCACTCATGCTCCTCATACACACCCTATTCACTCTGGTCCCGGTACTGCTGCACAAAGCATACAACCACCGGTTCCCAGAGTTAGCCCCTTTCTGCTGGGGTGATGATGAGCAGGCACCCCCGCCCATCGCCGAGCAAAGCAACCCACCACCCCAGACCCCAACCAGATGGGCCGCTATCCCTCCTTAGCCTCCAGCCCCGGGAAGCCAAGCGACAACAGAGGTGTGCTAAGACCCCTAGTTTCCCTCCGCCTGCTCCAATACAGTGTTGGTGCATGTTGATGAGGTGTATTCCATGGCTGTGGTGAGCGGGCAGCTCAGGCATCATCTGGCCTACGCCAGCTGATGCCACCACACAGCCCCACTTCCCCCCACAGCCCTCCGTGTCTAAGTGCAGTTTAAAATTGGAAGTGGGCACCGGCACTTGGGATACGGCTGAAAGATCCCCTTGCCAAATGCTGTTGAGTGTGCTCCCTCCCAAGGCCCTAAGTGTGTGTTTGTGTGGAATTTCGTTGGTGGAAGTGTTCAATGTGCAAATAAAATTGGGGGGCAGGCTGCCACCGGAATGCGGAAAGAGGATCCATATACGCACCCTCTGGATTGTACCCCAAAGGGTACAACCATCACCGGTTCCCAGAGTTCAACCCTTTCTGCTGGGGTGTTGATGAGCAAGCTCCCCTGCCCAACGCCGAGCAAAGCAACCCACCACCCCAAACCCCAACCATTACTATTCATTTAAATTGTAGTACAACATATGTGCGATCCAAGGCGTATGGCAAAGCGGATTAGAAAATAGCATTTTTAGCCCCGTTGACTTGCATCCATTTTTTCATTCTCCCGGGGAGCCGTGAGCAGCCCGGAAAGGCTGACTAAAGCCTGATTTATGCTTCTCCGTCTGCGTCAGTGCGGAGACATGCAACGCCATTATCCGTCCTTGCGTAGGGCACGCAAGTACGTACGGAGTCGAGCCCACTTTTTTAAACATCCGTCGAACGAGACGGATTACGCAAGCTTGTGATTGGTCAGGACGCCGCTGTTGTTTACAGCGCCGCCATTGCAAAGAGAGCCGAGGATAACTAGCGGCAGACACGGAGAAGCTTGAAGAATACCTCGCGAAAAAAACTCTAAAAATATGAACGTTTCATCCTCCCGTGACTGGAGGAGTGAAAAGATGCGCAGCAAGAGTTTTATTTGTGAACGGAAATGACAGGAAACGTGGGTTTAGAGGTGGGGAGCGCATGAAGCGGTGGGAGAATGAGAGACAAATATGTCCGTGCTAAAAGTCTGTTACATACACAAAAAACACAATATAAACACATTATCTTGGACCGATACATGACAGGATACCACAGAACAGCGCTACGCCCTCTGTTGTCCTGCCTGGGAATTGCTTTGCAACGCTCTCCAGGAGACGGAGAAGTAAAAGAGCAAAACGCTTCCGTCAATCCGTGCGTGTCTGTCCCTTGCGGAGCTGACAGAGAAGCATAAACCAGGCTTTAGGCAGCTAATGCAGGAAATAGGGTAGAAGACTGCATTCACATTTTGCCTGCATGTTAAACAGAGTAACCAATTGCATTTAAAATATAGGTAATGCTTCCTTTTACAGTCCCCTAATCACTAAGTACTTACATGGTAATTACACAGTAAGTTAAAGTGTAATTATTGTGTAAAGCAGTATTTAATGGGAATGATTAATACAATAAAAACTATAATTGAACCTGAGTTAAATAGTAATAACTGTTTAAGAACTCAGAAACAATAAAACTCTTTAATGTACTATGTAATTACCATATAAGTACTTAGTAATTAGGGGACTGTAAAAAGAAGCGTTGCTAAAAAATAGCATTTAAAAATGGTTTCTTTGTGATCTTGGACTCTAACATTACACTTCTTCTGTCCTACATTTCTTACTCACCAAGTTGAACATCCACAGTGTACAAGCTCGAGGTGACTTTGTTTCCACTCAGCTGTGCTGTGCATACATAACAGCCCACGTATTCTTCTGTAGTGTCATTGATGATGATGCCTCGCTCAAAGTTACTGTGGAAGCTCATTCCAGAGGGCAAAGGTTGTCCATCACAGGTCTCCAAAGTCAAACTTGTGATCTCAGGATTGGTCACGAGGCAGGGGATAATGCAGTCCTCACCTGCTCGAACCAAAATGTTGTTCACCATGGTACGGTGAAAGGCATTTTCTGAGTCTAAAAAAGATGACAGAAATATAATAAGCGTAAAAAAAACTTGTTTATCGCTTTAAGGTGCACAATTACAAGCCCTTCCATTTCCTTGAGCACTCACCTTTCACAAAAACATAGATGGAGCTTTGTTCTTTCGTGATGACGTTGACACACGTATAACGCCCCATGTGATAGGCCTGCACTGCTGACACCCTGACAGAGGCCACCCCGCCCTCCTCCACCTTTATCTCCAACTTGCGGTTTCTGTCATTCCCCCACTTCAACTGGGATGCTGTGGCATTGTCATGGCAACTCAGCTCCAGCTTTCCTTTTTTGGGAACCACTATATGAGGACCACTGGGAGAGATGACTGGCTTGCTCCACACTAAAACAAAGAGAACAAAGAGTATGTCTGATATTTAGATGTGACCAAAGGTTTGAGAATGACATTAAAAGAACGTTTGCTGTATCAGTGTTTGATGAATGCCAGGCTTGAAATCGCTCCATTGCAGACTGGATGCTTTACAGACTGGGACAAAGTTGTTGGTACCTTTCGGTCAATGAAAGAAAAAACTATAATGGTCACAGAAATAACTTGAATCTGAAAAAGGTAATAAATATAAATTTGATGAAATGTAACCAATGAAAATCACACATTGCTTTATGGAAGTCCTAGACAAAAATGATGGTACCCCTAACCTAATATTTTGTTGCAAAATATATTGATGTAATTACTGCAATCAAATGATTCCTGTAACTGTCAGTGAGACTTCTGCACCTTTCAGCAAGTATTTTGTCCCACTCCTCATGAGCAAACTGCTCCAGTTGTCTCAAGTTTGAAGGGCAACTTTTCCAGACAGCACGTTTCAGCTCCTTCCAAAGATGCTCAATAGTATGAAGGTCAGGGCTCTTAGAAGGCCACTTTAGAAAATTGTTTTTTTAAATCGTTGCATGGGTTAGCACCATCCTATTTGACGACTGTTACAACCACATTCCCCAGTATGACCAATTCGATCAGAGAACCTTCTACTGCTCAGTGCCCAGAAAATTCCTAAAGGCGAGAGGAGAAAGAGCCTTGTTCGTGGCGGGTCCGAAGTGCTGGAATGAGCTATTGTCCAAAAGGGTTTCCACTTCCATGGTAGTTTTTAAAACCGACTTCTAAAATTTGGCGTTCACTCCTGGTTGTTAGTTTTAATTTTGTTTTAGCTGTCTTTGTTTTTATTGTGTTTAACTAGGTTTTATTCTGTTCTCTTGCTAAGTTTGTGCCTGTGAAAGGCCTTGGTGTCATATTTCTGCCTGTAAGGTGCTATATAAATAAAAACTGAGTTGAGTTTAGTAGAATAGTCCAATGTTTTCCTCTTAGCCGTTCTTGGGTGTGTGTAGCTGTGTTTTGGGTCATTGTCCTGTTGAAAGACCCATGACCTCCCACTGAGACCAAGCTTTCTTACACTGGCCAGCACATTTCTCTCTAGAACCCCTTGGTAGTCTTGAGGTTTCACTGTACCTTCCACAGATTCAAGACACCCTGTGTCAGATGCAGCAAAGCAGCCCCAGAACATAACAGAGCCTCCTCCACTTTTCACAGTAGTGGCAGTGCTCTTTTCTTGATAAGCTTCATTTTTCCATCTTTGTCTCATCTGTCCATAGAACATTCTCTCAGAAGCTTTGTGGCTTGTAGACATGTAGGTTGGCATGTTCTAGTCTTTTTTTTTATGCTTCGTTTTCAACAATGATGTTATCCTTGGTTGTCTCCCATGTAGTCCACTTTGACTCAAACAACGACGGATGGTGCGATCTGACACTGATGTTCCTTGAGCTTGAAGTTCACCTTGGATATTTTTAGAAGTTTTTCTGGGTTCTTTTGTCACCGTTCAGATTATCCATCTCTTTGATTTGTCATCAGATTTCCTCTTGCAGCCACGTCCATGGAGCTTGGCTACAGTCCCATGGATCTTAAATTTCTGAATAATATGTCCAACTGTAGCCACAGGAACATCTAGCTGCTTGGAGATGGTCTTATAACCTTTACCTTCAACATGCTTGTCTATAATTGTCTTTTTAATCTCCTGAGACGACTCTTTCCATCACTTCCTCTGGTCCATGTCGAGTGTGAGACGCACCATGTCACCAAACAACACAGTGACTACCTGGAGCCCTATATAGACCCACTGACTGATTACAAGACTGTAGACACCTGTGATGCTAATTAGTGGACACACCTTCAGTTAACATGCCCATTTGGTCCCATTATTTTCAGTCTTTTCTAGTTGTACCATCATTTTTATCCAGGCCTCTTCCAGGACTTTATTTTTTATATAAATTCATTGAAGAATGGTTGAAAAGTAATGTGTGACTTTTATTGGTCACATTTCATAGAATTTGCATTTATTATTACATTTGTCAGATTCAAATTATTTCTGTGACCATTGTGGGGTTTTCTTTTGTTGACCGAAGGGTTCCCCAAGTGGAGGAGTTTAAGTATCTTGGGGTCTTGTTCACGAGTGAGGGAAAGATGAAGTGTGAGATCGATAGGCGGATTGGTGCTGCGTCTGCAGTACTGGGGGTGTTGTACCAATCTGTTGTGGTGAAGAGAGAGCTGAGCCAGAAGGCAAAGCTCTCAATTTACTGGTCAATCTACATTCCTACCCTTACCAATGGTCATGAGCTTTGGGTAGTGACTGAAAGAATTAGACTGCGGATACAAGCGGCCGAAATGAGTTTTCTCTGCAGGGTGGCTGGGCTATACCGATAGGGTGAGAAGCTCTGTCATCCGGGAGGGGCTTGGAGTAGAGCCACTGCTCCTCCACATTGAGAGGAGCCAGTTGAGGTGGCTCGGGCATCTCCTGGACGCTTCACTGATGAGGTTTTCCTGGCACGTCCAACCAGGAGAAAGCCTAAAGGAAGACCCAGGACACTCTGGTCTCACGACTGGTCAAGAAACACCTAAGGATTCCCCCGGAGAAGCTGGTCCAAGTGGCTGGGGAGAGAAAAGTCTGGACCTCCCTGCTTAGGCTACTGCCCCCGTGACCCGACCCTGGATAAGTGGCCGAAAATGGATGGATGGATGACCAAAGGGTACCAACAATTTTGTCCACGTCTGTAAAAGGCGGGGGCAAATTTAAATGATTGTTCTTTCAGGTATGCTAGGAAATATCACTGTTGTGCCCAAAAAGGGTGTCAAGGGCTGGAATATAAATCAACAATATATTGAATCATCAAGAAATTCTATGAAAAAAGTTCTGCACACATGGTGAAAAGGATGACCTGGTGTCACCAAAAAGAAGCCACTTTCAATTCAGACGGATAAAAAGTACTCAAATGATAAATCACACTTGTTAGACTCTAAAGCGCTGTTCACTACAGTGCATCATTCAATCATTCACACTGTTTTCTGTTTCGTTCATCAATTCACACACCGATGGTGATGAGATACATTGTCCCACAGCTACCCTGGGGGCACTGACAGGTACTTATAAAGTACTTATGTCACAGAAACACGTGCACCAAGAATTCAAATCAATGAAGAAGCAAACTGTGATAACCAACATCTCTAGGAAGTGATTTCACTAAAAGTAGGGTGGTGCTGGTGGGGGAGGGGTCGATTACATCAATGATGATGGTGGTGGTGGTGGTGGGGGGGGGGGGGGTTATATAAATTTGGTCAATGGAAGTAACCTACATAAAATTCTGCCTTATTTAAGTGATAATGATCAATCAATAGACCAAGAGTACCTTTTGACACCCCCAAGGTTACACCCAGTCCAGACAACAGCATCAGTCTTAAAATCTTTGACCAGGTCAAATGGTGAGAATTTGGTTTATTAATCAAATGTTGTTGTTTTTAATCAATATTTATGCAATAAACCCTTTAGCAAATAAAGCAGAGATACATCCTTCTAGGGACGCCGTAAAGATGATTCCCTAGCTGGTGTTTTCAGCTCCCTAATAGAGCAAGACCCAACCCAACCAAGGCTCTAATGTAATGGTTAAATAGAATGTTACCACTGGCATGCTGCTCTTTAGGACAGGCTGCTTTTTAACCACCACAGCTCAACTGCACAATCAATAATTATGAGCCATCCAGCCGCTGAGTAATCGCGCATTAAGCCCCCTAAATCCCAATTCTTCACGATAAAAAGACTAAGAAAACATTTTAGTTTCAGACAACCCCCCACCTCCTCCTCTTGTAGATTTTTCACATGATAAGCTGCGTTTTAACAACACGATTTTCATGTGACTGTTATGCCCGCAGGTTCTAAGTGAAGCTCGGTCAGAGAGCAGAGGAGGAAGCAGAAGCATCTGGAGGCTTCCTCTCCAGAACATCAATAGAAACTGTGTTCGCGCATGTCTCCGGGCTGTTGTTGGGCTTATTTCTGCGCAGTTGATGCAGAAAAAAAACCCAAAAGGTCCACGTAAAACTCCAGGCAGGGTGTTGTGTGACTCTGCACAGGGTCACCATGGCTCTGAAGGTGCAGCTTTAGGGCGCTTGTTCCAAAAACAAAACACCAAAAGAAAAGTGCGGACTTGCTTTGTTCCGCTGCTGCCGTGGGACGCACAACCTTCCTTACAGTGGGATAAATAATTCATTGTTTTTTTTTACACATACGCGCGCGCGCACTGACGCGTATACGCACACCTGTTGTTGTGAGAGGTCAACGCAATATGCAAAACTGAGGTGTGACGGCTTGACGGGAAAAACCGTTACCAAAGTAAATGGCTGCTGTTTGAACTCATTTCAGGGGAAATTTGACAAGAATTTGTACAACTACGGGGGATAAAATGAGACGTTAAGCCACAAAATATCAGAAGGTTGAAGAATCGTTCCAGCAGAATAAAAACCAAGCAGACGCACGCGTCCCCGTGGTACGGAAACAATAGTCTTTTCTTACCTGTTAGTGGCAGCAGGACTAAAAACGAGGCACAAACAACCCACTGGCACCTCATCTTCAGCCGTTTTACGCGTCTTTCACTCCATGCGTGTCCGGCGCACAAATAAATAACCACCAAAGAGCGGATCCCATCCACAAGTCCACCACAGACCAAGTCCGTCCTCTAAAATAACAACTCGGTCAGGGTTCCGACTCCTTCTGATGGATGTCCCTGAGGCGCTTAAAGGCACAGCGCCTCTCTGCGCCCTGCTCTGGATCACTGCCACTCCTCTATCAGCTCCGCA